GATGAATCAATTCCATACGCCTTACTCTAACAAGTAAGCAAGTAGAAACTACCTTAAATTAGATCGAAGAATTTGCTTTCTGTTGTTGGTCTTTGAATTTCATGAACGCAGAGCCAAAACGAGAACGGGTTCAGTCGAACACAGTGTATATAGTATATAGAAGTGGAAGAGTATATTTTGTGAAATAAAAAGGAGCCTCACCACAGCCTTGAACAAGCACCGGGTGACGCGAAAGCCGTTTTAGTTAGTCACTAAAGCCGTTTTCTTGCTGGTACCGGAAACTCCTTTCCTTTAGAATCTCAGGCCCGAGAAGGAAGAACGAGGCTTGAATCGAGGCAAGGCGCTAGACAGCCGAGTGAGTTTCAGTGCTAGTAAGAAGAGCAGTTGCAAGCTAGCAAAGAAGTGAGATAGAAAGCTCGCATTTTCGAGTATATATACAATGGCAATCCAAGACAAAAGAAAGAAAAAGAGCATTTGATCCTAAGGTAGTTACTACTTGCTTACTTAAAAAAAAAGTAAGGGCTTTTGTCAGCCTTAGACTGCGTCTTCAGATACATCTATTGGCCATTCCTCATCAGATTCTCTAAACGTGATATTCAATTACATTGCCTTAATAGAAGAAAGATCTGGTAATAATAGGACTTGGATCTCAAGTAAGTAGGCGTTCTCGAGGTCTTTTCTCTAGCACCTTCCTGCTTCTCTTATCCCGAACACCTTCCCCTTCTAACCTAGGAGAACTACTGAAAGCATTCGTACTTGGTTCCTTTACTCCGGCTGAACTAATGCAAACTTACCGATGTTCTTTCAAGGGGGGGGGAAGAAGAATATGGATTACTTGAACCTTTTGATGCATAAGATGGAGAGCTGTGAGCAGGGCCCCATTGAGACCTTTTACAAGGTCGAATGGAGGGGGCCAAGATAAGATCTGTAGTTCTATTCTGGAATCCAAACAAAGAAAGTAACTAAATAGGCATCGAGCCGTTCAGATGAGACCCGAAGAACAGGAAGAATAAATAGCAAAGGGAATCCCGACTTCCTAGAATCACAAGGTAGCATAGCCCGTTAAGTGAAGTAGTGCGCGAAAAGGAATGATTTGATAAAGCAGTAGCCGGCTCGGGGGTAGGAAAAGGTGGGTCAGTCTAGAGCCAGACGACTCGTGAAGAGAGAAAGCATCTGCCCCTTCTATTGACTTAGATGAGGAGTTTACTATTCTACTGAGAAGGTTTTCACATATTTGACCCGGTCAGGAGAAAAGATACAGAAATATGATTTGGATGAATCTTATTTCAATCCCTATAGAGAAAGTGCGGTGAGGATAATTCTTTGACAGAAAAGGATGTCTGTCAGAGTGTAATCTCTAGCCAAAGGCTAGACAAGTTCTTTAGTCTGGAGGTACCGGAGGACATTAGAAATGACAAACGAAGACTTAAAGTCTGGAATGCTAACGTCTCGCGTTTTAAACAGCACTACTATGGCTATTGTCATTCTGTATGCGGCGAGAATCTTTGTTGGAATGCCCATCAAGAAAGGTGGGAGAGCTTTGAGAGAAAGCTCACTGGAAAGTATTGTTTACACCATTAATGAGATATTTTATCAACAGAGCTTATTCAACAACGGCGGAAAGCAGACAAAAAGAAGCTTCCGTCTTATTGAATCATATGATTTCCCGGGTTGACCGATCTAAATGCCAACACCCCCATCCAGGGCTAATCATAGCCTCTCATACCTTCAAAGAGCCATACTTCGCTTTTAGCGATTTTGATCAACTCAGTCTGGCTATCATGGATCTCTTACTCCGGGGTGCTTACCCTTACTTATCGGGTTCGAATTACGCTAAGTTCAATGTTTTATTTACAATGTTTACCTCCGGCGGGACACCTACCACCTTTGCGGCTGGTCGTGCTATCGCCTTGACTTAACTTATGAAGATGGAAAGTGAATTCCAAAGAGTGAGATATATGCTCTTTTAAATGAACGAATAATCGATTTGATCGAAAAATACGAAGGATATTTGGTTATTGGAGTCACAATCCGAGTCTTTTTGGAGACTAAATTAAAGGAGGCGCAGTACCTCTCTGCCGAGGTTAGGGAAAAGATCCTTATCGAATTCTTAAAGGTTCGATATTAACGGATATCAAGCCAAGAAAGGCAAAAGTTCTCCGATATCGGAAGCGTAATTATCCAACCCATATCACAGCACTGAAATCTGGTTCAACTAGGCTGAAACCCTTCCTGGTTGCCGATACCGAGACTATACTAATAGATGTCAAGTCCACTCCCGATCCCGAGACCGGTGAGGAGGATGTGACCAAAGTTCATTTTCCTTATGCTGCAGGTGTCTTGCTGGTTCGTCCCGGTGTGGTGATCGATAAAGGTCGAATTTATACCTACTACAGCGAGGATTACACTTCTAAAGTCTTCAAAAGCTTTGAAGAAAGGATAAGTTACTTACGCACTTTGTCTATAGGTTAATTTCAATTATTAAGCAGAATCCTTCGATTCAAACTGTATACTTCCATAACTTCTCACGATTCGATGGAATTTTCTTGGTGAAGCACCTAGCGTTACATCATTCCAATTTTAGGCTAAAACCTCTGGTGAGGAAAAAATCTACGAGATAGCCGTCTATACAGGTAATAGACTCTTATTCCGCAGGAGAGACTCCTTGCATCTACTCCCTGGCAAGCTGCATGTCCTAGCTAAGAATCTATGCAAGGGAATTGGCGGGAAAGGCTCTATCGCCTATGACGAGGTAAGCCTTGAAAATTTTCTTATTAAGAAAAAAGAGTATATCGAATATATGAAAAATGACATTTTTGGTGAGGTAGTGCAAAAAAGCCCAAGAGTTATATTGGAAGAACTACAAGATCGACATAGAATGCAAGGTAACTCTTTCTTCAGTGGCTCTAACCATCTTTCGTATGAAGTACTACGACGTTAACTCCCAACAAGCACCGGGTGACGCGAAAGCCGTTTTAGTTAGTCACTAAAGCCGTTTTCTTGCTCCTTATGTAATGCATGATTTTCCGATGCCTGGAGGTGAGCCTGAGTGGCATGGAAATCTGGGTGATAAGGACTTAGATAGCCTCTTTGGCTTTATTGAGGCATATGTGGAATGCCCCGAGACTATAAAGAGACCCTTCCTTCCCTTTCGGGAAAAAAAAGGGGGGTCTTTTATTGGTGTCTACTATAGTGAGGAGTTAAAGTATGCAAGAGACATAGGCTACACTGTGATCCCGCTCTCAGGCTACCTCTTCCAGAAGAAGGAAAGCCCGTTCAAGGACTATGTTAGCACTCTTTATATATAATAGAAGATTAAAGGCTAAGAAGGAAGGAAATGACGCCCTTGCCTAAGAACCTTTTGAATTCGCTGTACGGAAGGTTTGGAATTAACCCTAAAAGCACGATAACCTTGATCTGCGATGACAATAAATAGAACATATTTTTGAAGAAGGATTCATTTATAGACGGTCATAAGCTTAAAGAAAACAATTGGGTGTTATGGTACCATAACAATATGGAGGAAGCATCTTCGTTTAGCAACTCCTCCCTTCTCAAGCGCTCTTCCTCTCTTCTCACTTGCTGGATGAGCTGTTCTTGTTCCTTCTCGAGATCCAGGATCCGTTCTATGACTGGCTCTGTTGGCATGCCCCGCTCTTCGCGCCAGCACACTTGGCGTTCGAACTCAGCAAACTCACCCTCGATTTGATCAAGTCTCTTCTGCAATAGTTCTATCCCTGAGGAGTGATAATAGTAGCGGTCTTCATGTTTCACGGCTGGAACAGCGGCATTCACCGTAGCAGTTTCGTTCAACGAAGGAGCAGCAGTGGTTGTAGCAGTGGTATTGTCAGCATTTGGAGACCCTTTTCTTTGTCTTTTCCGGGGATATGTAGTAGCTTAACCTTAAGGAACGTAGTCGCTTAAGCGAAGCTTTTGGTATGTAATCGCTTATGTTAAGCTTAAGGAAAGAGAAGGCTAGATCTAACAGATAATAGTGGTATTCTTACCTAGGAACTAGAGCAGACGCAGACCTTTCATCTATTGTCTTATCGTCTTCTCTTCCTAGTTATATCTTCCTGTAGTTCCAGGAAGCAAGGGAGCTATGGAAGAGCGTAGGAGAGAGAGCAAGGAGGATTTATTATCATTTGTAGAAGGAAAGGCTATACCATTGACTTTGGGTGATGGGACACCTTTACCAAAGGGTGAGGTTTTAGGTCATATTTATAGTCGTATTTTATATAAAGGTGAGTCATACGTGGGGGAACTAGTGCCTAGAGTCGGGATTCGCTTCTACACGGAGGCGGGTAAAAAGATAGAAATTCTATCCGTTTCTTCTGATGACAGAACTAAACAACTGGAGGAGGCCCTTCGTAATCAAGTAGAGGTCGGTTCTTTGCCAACGATTACACCTAAAAAGATAAGAAATCGTAAGAAAACATATTACAGCAGTATAACTCCTGTTAAATGCAATTCTAAGGAGTTAAACCCGTTCTTGGTTGCCGACACTGAGACTCTTTTACTTGATGAAATTCACCAACCGTATGCTGCCGGTGTTATGATGGTTCATCCTGGTGATAACATCAAAAACAATAGTCGAATCGATTCATACTTCAGCGAGGATTACACTTCAGAAGTCTTCAAAAGCTTTCAAGCAAGGAGCTCTAAGTTACTTAGCGACTTTATACATAGGATTATTTCAATTATTAAACAAAACCCAGCAATACAAACCGTGTACTTCCACAACTTCTCACGATTCGATGGGATTTTTATCCTGAAGCACCTAGCGTTACATCATTCCAATTTTAGGCTAAAACCTCTTATGAGGAATAATAGAATTTATGAATTAGCAGTATACGCGGGTAATAAAAGAATCTTTAGCTTTCGTGACTCTCTGCATCTCCTTCCAGGAAAGCTAGATAGCCTTGCTAAGAGTCTATGCCCTGGTCTTGGTAGTAAGGGTTCTTTTGATCATAAAAAAGTGACAGTCGAAAATTTGGGTAAGATGAGAGCTAGCGTGTTAATGTATATGGAGCAAGACATACGTCTTCTTGGGGGTGTAATGCAAAATGCCCAAAGGTTGTATTGGACACACTACAAGGTGGACATTGTGAGCGTGCTCACTTGTTCAGCTATGGCTCTGAAAATCTTTCGCAAGCAGTTTTACGATGATCAATCATTCCCCATCCACATCCCTAATCGGAATGAAGATACCTTCATTCGTCGTGGATACTATGGAGGTCATACAGACGCTTACAAGAAATTGGGTAGAAACCTATTCTACTATGATGTGAACTCACTCTATCCGTTCATTATGAAAAAATGTCCCATGCCAGGAGGTAAGCCAGTCTGGGATGGTAATCTGGTTGATAAGGACATAGATAGCCTATTTGGATTTATAGAGGCTTTTGTGTCATGCCCTTCTTCAGTCAAAAAACCTTTTCTCCCCGTTCGGGGAAAAGATGGTACACTTCTCTTCCCCACGGGTGATTTTGTTGGTGTATACTATAGCGAGGAGTTAAAGTATGCAAGAGACATAGGCTACACTGTGATTCCAGTCAGTGGGTACCTCTTCGAGAAGAAGGAAAGCCCTTTCATAGAATATGTGAATTCTCACTTCGATAGTCGATTACAGGCAAAGAAAGATGGAAATGAAGCTTTGTCATTTGTTTATAAAATCCTTATGAATTCGCTCTATGGAAGATTTGGTATCAACCCAAATAGCACTAAAACGGAGTTATGCGATAGCGAGCGCTATCACTTTTTGATGAAACAAGATTCCTTCATTGGTTTTCATCCGATTATAGAAAACCTATACATGGTATCCTATCATACTGTTACGGCTGATGATAACATTCATTGGGCTCAGCCTAAGAACTCCGCAGTTCAACTTTCCGCCGCAATCACTGCATGCGCTAGGATCTACATGCACCCATTTATATCAAGGGATGACTGCTACTACACAGACACAGACTCTATCGTTCTTGCCAATCCTCTTCCAGAGGGCTTAATATCTTCCAAAGTCTTAGGGTTGTTTAAATTAGAAGATAAAATCAAAGAAGGATACTTTTTGGCGCCAAAAGCATATGGCTATATTTCCGAAGAAGACACAAATGTAATTAAGTTCAAAGGACCAGCAAAACACCTGGTGGATATTTCTTGGTTCAGAGAACAGCTCGCTAACCCTTCTCGTAGGATGAAAGTCCAAATCAAAAATGAATTCGGGATTGATTGGGACAACCAGACTGTCGGTGTTAAAGAATATGATTACAGTTTGGGGATTAAACTGAACAGTAAGAGGATTACTCAACCTGATGGAGAGACTTTACCCATTGAAGTCAATGATATGTGTGGGGTAGCCAAATCACTTTTTAAAAAGCTAATGAAACTGCAGACAACGAATACTCTTCTTAATGAGAAGTTGTCTCAGAAGGAAAGAGAGAGTGAAAAGAGAATGGATGGTGTGATAGTAGAAGAGATAAAAAAGATTGAATATTTGGGTATTAATATAGAGACTACTCTTACTGAAGAAAGCACTCAATTAGATAAAGAAGAAAGCGATGTAACTAAGACAGATTCTAAGAAACCAGATACGTAGCTTAAGAGTACACTTCGTTAACCCACGCTAGTTTAATAAAACCATACTGTCTGGCCAGAAGGAGCTTAGCCTGTCCGGAGATAGTGTAGTTAGAAGCATAAGCTATTAGACTAAGCAGTAAAGCTAGTAAGACCAGCTGTTAAATAAGCCATATCTGTCTTAAACCCGTTGCTAAAGCTAGTAAGCATACTCCAGCTACTAAACAGCTTGCTGCTAAAGCCTTTGAGCCTTAGGCATAAGCTGTTAAAGACTGTGCTGCTAAGTAAGACTACTCCATCTAGCTAACAGCTTCTTTCTTTCCAGTTGCTTCCTTCGGTAAGGGATGTCCGGGTGGATATCCCGCCTTACTACTAGGCGATGTCCCCAAGGATATCGTCTAGCATCCGTGAAACTCTCAGGTTGGAATAAGACTAGGAGAAGAAGTAATGCAAAGAGATAGAAAAACTACCTGATTAATTCAATCCTGCCCGGCCGGCCGGAGATAGTGTAGTTAAAGACAGTGAAGCTAAAGACAGTAGACAGTACCTGATTGATTCAATACTCCTTGCAGCTGGCTGCTCTCCTTAATTTCACAAAGAAAAGAATTGAGTGGTTTTAGCTCCTTGCCCTTAGTGAAGCGAGTTAGTTGTCCTGTTAGCGGTAGTTCTTTTTGTTGTTTTCCTCTCATCGTTAGCCAGCCTGTTTTCGTTGTTGGATAAGAACTATGTGTTTGATGCCGTCGAGTCAGGGAAGGGTAGAAACAAGGACATCTATTACTTTCCTTAGTCATCTAGCCAGCATTTTATGTCTTCTTTATACAGTTATCTAATTATAGAAGGGAATTTCTATTTTGTAAAAAGGCCAGCCAATGAAAGCTGTCTGATATAGGTAGGCCTAACACAAGTTTAGAAAAAAAGGCTTTATTTTAGGCCTCTAGTGAAAGAGTAAAGTAAGGAATTCCAGGCAGGCGATAGGGGCTTCGGGGGATAAGATTCATCGTATAAGCCTGAACCCTATTAGTTATGTGCTTCCCCTTCATACCCTAACCCTAATAAAGTGCTTACTAGCATATAGTAATGTACAGATTCACTCTTTATCTAATATAGTTGCTAATAGTTAGTTAAGCATTAGGCGCAACTTCTATAATAGAAAGCATTCAGTGTTGATCTTATCTTTCTGTATTCAAGCTTTTTGTCAAGGAGCTCTGATTCCACTTCTATCGTTAGAGGGAAGCATAGTTGGGATCTCTTCCAGCGGCGAATAAAGGAATAGCTACTTACCCATAGAGAGAGAAGACAGCTACAGAACACCATTGAAAGTTAAGAAGTCCAGCTCTTTGTCAATACGAACCGACCCTAGCTTGCTTGGCATAAACTCCTTTACTTCGGACAGCCCTTCCTTCAGCAAGGGAAGCCAGCCTTTCCTTAACCTTGCTCGGGCTGAGGCTTCTTCACCCGGCCGGGCTTCAAAGTCAGAGTCGGAACTATTGAATTGAACCTCTTCCACTCGGGAAAGCTGCAGTCCTTCCTTACCTTTCATGGGATGAGACTGCCCCACTCTCTTTCTTGCTGTCTGGCTTTGTTGGTTGCTTTTTTTCTAGCTGGAAAAGCCCTCCCCTTCTTAAGTTTCATGTGTGTGTGCACGAGCCAATTCAAGCTATAGCCCGCTCTCGCTTCTGTACTCTTTTCCCATCTCTCTCGATATCCTTCTTTCATCCTTGCCATCTTCCCAACGAAATTGATTGGTGCCCTGTGTGACATAGACTTAACGCTGACTACATCCAGGGAAGTCCGTCGGGTGGGCCACAACCCGCGGCAATCATGCCTGGACTAACGAGAGAAATCTCTCTCTTCCGCGCTTTTCACTCCTTAACCTTCGCTTAAGCGACTACGTACCTTAACTCGACGATTCCCCACTACCCTCGTGCTCGCTTATAGAAACCTATATATATTTCCTACCTGGAGAAATCTTTCCTAGGCTGCTTTCCACCGTTCAAACTATCCGCTATTCGGGCTTCCCTTGAGACTGCTCACAACCTTTTCTTGACTCTGTCTTTTCATACAGCTTCGAAACCTACTTCCTACCAGGAGAAGATGTTATTGATTCTCTTTGAAGGTGGGGGACCCTATTCACAGGGATTGCACACCCCTCACCTAATTGAGATAGAATCTGAATACCCTTACATTTTGTAGAGATATAAGGCACCATTCTAGGATTCCATTTTTCGAGTACCGTGACCGAAATGAACTCCCGCTTCCATTTGAGTGATGTCTCTCCCTTTGATATAGTACTCATGAATCCACCTGACCCAGACCTTGTCTTTTTTGTTTGCTAAATTCCAAAGCAACTTACAAACAGATGCTTTGTTCCAGCAAGAAAACGGATGCGCGAAAGTCACGCCTTTCACTAAATATGCGTTTTTTCTTGCTCTCTCGAAAAGAGCTCGGACACTAAAGAACGAAGCGAGTAAGGAAGGGGAATACCAGATTGTTCATGCTGCTAAAGAGAAAACTAGTATTAATAAACTATCTCCTTTGTTTGATTCTAATTCCGAAAGGAAGGTGCTAAATGTTAGAGTTAGCTTCATTCTTCTGGTAGCTAGGAAATACCCTCGAATTGTTAAGCTTCATTTTATGCCGTTTAACTGCATGAGTTGGGCTACATAAAAGATCCTATTCTAAAAT